GACGGGTGAGCTGCGTTGGAAGGCGCTCAGGTCTGGCCTGGGTTCGCCCCACCCCCATCTTTGAGGGAGCCAACCACCTTTCTGGGAGAAACCCACTGAACTTGGATCGAGGGCGAGCTGAGTCCAAGCCAAGGCAACTATGTTTGTTGCTCCGGTTACTTTGAACCTGGAAGAAGAGCCCCTTGTGTGAGCAGGGACAGTAGCAGCTTGTGGGTCTCTTCCCTGTGTGGTATGGCCTGCCTGGCTGAGCCACCTCCGGCCCGGGAGGTTCCTCCCCGTTTTTGGTTGGTAGAGACGGGCATTCATCCCGACAATGAGTGCTTTTTACTCCCCAAGGAATGCGGGGACAGGCTGGAGGCTGACGCCTGCTGAGCCATCCTTCTCCCCCAGCTGGTACATTCCCTGTCCCTGCCTAGCCGCAAGGACCTCCTGACTCAGGCTTTGTCACCAGCGACAAGGTTTTTGGGGCTTGCACCTAGTCCTGCGCTGTGGGTCACATGGGTGTTTAGGCTGAGCTCCTCCGCGACTGTAAACACGGTCACATGTTAAGAGGTTTTCTTCCAGTTACTTGGCCCAAACCCCAAACACTGCCGAGTCATGGTAGGCGGGCCCAGACTGCCCCAGTGCTGGGCTTCTCCCACATTTTTCACCAAGGATGAATCCTGGTTCAAACAGGCAAGCCACCCCACCTCCTTCCACCGCGTGAGCAGGGGCGGTCTCTGTGACTGCTATATAAGGAAAGAACCAACTTGGTCGGGCCTCTGGCTCGCTATCAGGCCATCGAGGAGCAGGGTCATCCCTGTCGCTGTGCCCCTGGCACGTTCAGCTGAAAGCCCACTCTGAGCTGTGCTCTCTGGTGCTGGTGGGGCTCTGAGCTGATAAGGGGGAGGAACCCACCTCAGGGACATCCTCCACTCTTGACTGTTGAAACTTTGGCCTGCAGCCCCGCCTTCAATCCTCTGCTGGAATCCATCCTCTTTCCAATCTGAGGTTGGTCCTGCGTTAGGTTGTTGGGAGACTGTCCCCCTGCCCTGCCACCCTACCCATCAACCCCTCTGAAATCTGGTGGGGGCTTCCAGCAGAGAACTCCCTCCCAAACTGGCCATACTTGCCTGGGCTTCTGAACACCCTTTCATAAATGTCACAGCTGAGCAGCTATCTTTTAGGTTTAGGCAGGTGGCTGGGTCTTTCCATTCAGCTGCTGCTAGGGAATTTCCTGGGGTCAAGGAAGCCCACTTCAGCTGCCTTTACCACAGCTCTTCAAGACTTTTGCCTCCTCCCTCCCAAAGCTCAGGGTAGTAAGACAGTCAGGGGGTGCAGCCCTCAGGATTCCTGGAGTCCCTTAGTAGACCTGGTTTAATTTATGATAATCAGCTCTTCTTTTTTGGTGGCACTGGGTGTTTGGGGGTTTGTTTGTGTTTGTTTGGTGGTACTGGGGTTTGAACTCAGGGCTTTGCGCTTGCTAGGCAGACACTACCACTTGAGCCATGCCCCCAACCTTTTTTTTTTTTTTTTTTTTAGCCTTTCATTGACACATTGACAAAAAAATGTAGACAGGTGATGGTGTGCACCTGTAATCCTAGCTACTTGGAAGGTGGAAATGAGAGAGTCACTGTTGGAGGCCAGCCAGGGCAAAAAAGTTACTGAGACCCTCTCAAAAACAAGCTGGAGAGGCTAAATTCAACTATGATATATACTAAGAACTTTTATAAAGAAAAAAACTTTTGTAAATGTCATAATGGACCCCCAGTACAACTATAATCTGATAAAGGGGGGAAAAATCAAGCTGGTGGCTCACTCCTATAACCCTAGCTACTTGGGAGGCTGAGATCAGAAGGATCGTGGTTCAAAGGCCAGCCCAGGCAAATAGAGACCCCCATCTCCAAACTAACCAAAGCAAAATGGACTGGAGGTGTGACTCAAGCAGTAAAGCACCTGCTTTGCAAATGTGAAGCCTTGAGTTCAAACCCCAGTCCCCACCCCCCCCAAAAAAAAAAGCCAGGAATGCACACATGTAATCTAAGCTATATGGGAGGCATAGGTTGAAGGACCAATGTTGGAGGTACTGGGCAAAAATGCAAGATTCTATCTGAAAAACAAAAAGGATTCTATCTAAAGCAAAACGGTCCAGGGGACGTGGCTCAGGTGGTAAAGTGGCTCAGCTTGCACAAGGCGCTGAATTCAAACCCCAGAACCACCAAAAAAAAAAAAAATTTTTTTCTTTTTTTTTTTGTTTTTAAATGAAACCCACCTCTGTAAACCTATCCCAAAGTCAAGGCTAGTCCCCCCAGGGATGCCTGAGTGCTTGACTTCCTGTGTTAGGTCTCTTGCTGACAGGGCGCATTCCTGTCATCTCGTCCTGGCACCACGTTTGGGTAACACCTTCATAAGCGGGTGCCTAGATTTGTTGGCCAAGACCAGTGCCTTGTGACTGCCCTGGAGCTGACCTCGGGCCTGATGCTCTTGTGTGAGCCCAGGTGTTTGAAGGTCAGTTTATGTGCAGCGTCCTGACAGGGGCTGTGTGTTAATTTAGAACTGCACCCCAGGCCCTGGTTTCACAGTGCTGGTTTGATGGTGGTTCTGCAGGGCAGAGGCTGGTATGTGCGTTGCCTCACCCATGGTGTGGAGCTTCTGGCCTGGGCTTTGGGAAGAGAGGATGTGTGTTTTGGGCCCCGTGAGGTTAATTCCTTTACAGGGAGAGGCCCTCACGGAAGTTGCAGGAGGCACAGGTAGGTGACTCACCCCAAGTGGGCTGATCATCTGCCCATTGTGTGTCCTGGCAGGCGGGTCTGATGGCTCCCGGCTCTATGACTGTGTGTGGAGGTACAACTCAAGTGTGAACGAGTGGACAGAGGTGGCACCCATGCTGAAGGCCCGAGAGTACCACAGCTCCTCTGTGCTGGATGGACTGCTCTATGTGGTAGCTGCTGACAGCACAGAACGCTATGACCACACCACCGACTCCTGGGAGGCCCTGCAGCCTATGACTTACCCCATGGACAATTGCTCCACCACTGCCTGCCGCGGCCGGCTGTATGCCATCGGCTCGCTGGCCGGCAAGGAGACCATGGTGATGCAGTGTTACCACCCAGACACAGACCTGTGGTCGCTGGTGGACTGTGGCCAGCTCCCCCCCTGGTCCTTTGCACCCAAGACTGTGACTCTGAATGGACTCATGTACTTTGTCAGGTGAGTCCCCAGGTGCCCAGTGTGCTGTGTGTTTGGCATTTCTTAGCAGGCCTTGTGTTAATAGGCACCCCATCCCTGAGAGCCAGGCAAAGCCAGTGGGTAGCCATGTGGCCTGTCTGGTCATAGCCACACGTCGGCATGTGAGAGGGTCCCTGTTGCTGTGTGTACATGCCTGGGCATGTGTACATATCCTACTGTCCCCTCCCTAGCCTACAGCCTGCCTGAAGCTGTGGAACCAGAAGGGAGGAGGGGTTATGAGTGACAGTCTCCACTGTCCCCTTTTGGTCTTGGACTTTGAATTGGTATCCCCCCCCCTCCCCGAGAAGGTATGTGACCTTTGTGTCTGGGACCACAACCTGTCTCACCATCTGAGCAGCGCCTACCCAAGACAGGAGGCTTCTTCTCAGGGTAAACTCCTAAGGGAACAGAGGTGTCATTACTTGTACGTGGCTGAGAGGCCTGGCATCACCATCTGCTCTGAAGAGGTCCCTGGACTTCAGCCAGCACTGGTCATTATAAAACTGCCTGGCCCTTCCACCAGCTTCCCCTCCCCCAGGTGTCTTCAAGGAAGGGGGATGGAGTGGCTATAAATATAACTTCTCCAAGTGCCAGGCCTTTACTTCAGCCCCTCTGTGGTGGCAGCAGGCCACCTTCCAGAATGTCCTCCTTGTCCTGTGGTCCTAGAGCAAGATGTGCCCAAGGGCTGCTCTGGGTCCTGACACCTACCTGCTTTTCCCTTCCTGGTAGGAATCACATGTCAGCTGCCAAACCTCTCTGGGAGGAAGCAGCAGCAGGAGGGCGTTACCCCTGCGGGCGGTTTGTTCATGCCATCTGGGCAGGCAGAGGAAGGAGGTGGTTTCAGTCCCACCTGAATCCACTTGAATGTGTGGAAAAGGAAGGCAGAGCTGTCTTACCAGTGTGGCCTGCAGGGAGGAATGGGGGCAGGCCTCAGACTGCGTGAATGCTGCTGGAACTGAAAGAGGTAATCCTGGGAGTATGGGCAAGGCTTGCTGCCAGAGCCCGGAAGTGTTCCCACTGCCAGCCTGTTCCATGCACCGTGGCTCTTCCTGTGCCATATATCCCCTGACCTAGAATGCCACCTATCTCTGGACAGTGTCTGTCCAGGATGTACTGTCCCCAGGGAGGTAACCATTTCTGTATATAAGCCACAGTCCCACAGCATCATCAGTGACCAGTGAAAGGGTCTGCTGACCATTGCCTCTCCCCAGCAATGGTCCTGTCTTAGTTCTGGGAAAAGACAGCTCCTGGATGGGATGCTGCAGCCTGGCAGAGGAGGACCTGGGGAACCTTGCCTTGCCCAAGCCCTTCTAGCTGTGGCTTCTGTGTCTGCTGAAAAAGGGGGTGATAGGTGAGGACAGGCTAGCAGGTCTCAGGATTTAATGACCATCATCATACCACCCACAAACTTAAGAGTGGTTTGACATTTTGGAATCATTGAGGAGGGTCTCAAGACAAGAGAGACAGTTCACAATATTGGCCAGGTACAGTGGCTCACGCCTGTAATCCTAGCTACTCAGGAGGCAGAGGCCAGGAGAATCACAGTTGGAAGCCAGCCCAGGCTTTTTTTTTTGTGGTGCTGGGGCTTGAACTCAGGGATTCATCCTGAGCCACTCCGCCAGCCCTTTTTTATGATGGGTAGTTTCAAGATAGAGCCTCAGACTATTTACCCGGCCGGCTCGAAGCACAGTGCTCCTGATCTCTGCCTCCTGAGTAGCTAGAATTACAAGCTTGAGCCACTGGCACCTGGCAGGGTGTCACTCTTGCTAGGCAGGTGCTCTACCACTTAAGCCACACCTCCAGTCCATTTTTCTCTGGTTATTCTGGAGATGGGGGTCTTGGAAACCATTTACCCAGGCTGGCCTTGAACCATGATCCTCCTGATCTCTGCCTCTGGAGTAGCTAGGATTACAGATGTGAGCCCCTGGCACCCAGCATACTGCTGCTTTTTGACTTACATGTCCTTGCTCCCCAATGCTATGCCCCCAAGCCTTTTGTGGGGTTGGGGAGGATAATCCCACAAGGTCAAAGGATCGTGACACCAAGGTGAAGTGCATTGCTGGTGTCTTCCTTCCTATTACTGGACTGCATTTGTCTTGCTGGACACTGAGACCCAGCAGTGAACAGGACAGAGTTGGGGGTGCAGGATGATGTTGAGGGCAGTGGGTAAGGTTCAGCGCACATGGGGTGAGAGGCCTAGCCTGGCCAGCCAGGAAGGCTTTCTCAAAAGGGTGGCACAAGTCAAAACTGGGAGGAAAAGGAGGAACCCAGGGCAAGAAGGAATGTAAAACCTTCCAGTACTGAAGGCAGTCACCATGGCCACGTCTGGGCAACAGGAGCCACACAGGGGCACCCCCCCAAGGGTGTGATCCTTGGGTTTGGGGAGCAAAGCTGGGTTCTAGCCTTGGAACCTGGAATTAGCCCCTGAACCCCAAGGGATGGGGTCCCACCCAGCAAGGGAGCTGCCATATGGCATCAGAAAGCTCCAGGTCACCAGATGTGGTGCACACATCTGTAATCCCAGCATTCAGGAGGCTGAGACAGGAGGATCACGAGTTTCTGGCCAGCATGGGCTACACAGTGAGATCCTATGCCAAAAAACCTTCCGCTCACTGGAGGAGTCAACAGGCCCTCACACCCAAGGTGCTTCCTCCTCACTCTAACCAGCTGTCCTCCCCCTCCTTGCCTCCACAGGGACGACTCTGCGGAGGTGGACGTGTATAACCCCACAAAGAATGAATGGGACAAGATCCCAGCGATGAATCAGGTAAATTTGCAGATGTGTGTAAGCACAGGCTGATTCTGCTTTTGCAACCAAAGTGTCATGATGATGAGTATTTGGACACAGTCGTGGTGGGTGGGGGCTGAGTTGAGCCCTCCCCGGGTATTCTCTCTCAGTGAATAGAAGGCTGGTGTTATCTTCATTTTGCACTTGAGACTTGCTGAGCCCCAGATGTTAAATAAGACTCCAGTGCTGTGGTTGGAGGTCATCTATTTTATTTATTGAGCAGTTGCTGTGAGCCAGAAAGCAGAAGGGTTTCATAGAGGGGCAGCAAGTGCAAAGGCCCTCGGATAGGTATGCCAGGTTTGTTTGTAGGGCACCAGAAGCTTAGTGTGGCTGGAGAGGATGAGATCAGATGGTAGGTCTCTGAAGACTGAGCCCACTCAGCTGACTGCTGAAGAATAGGCCTTGGGAATACGTTTATTGAATACCTGCTGTGTGCTCTTAACAGGACACCCACACACAGTGCTGGTCCGGGTGTTTGCTTGTTGAGAAGGGGAGCACTGAGCCTGACATTTGGATAGTCCTGGGAAGGCCCAGCTCTGCCACTGTCAGCCATATAAACCTCAGTTTCCCCAACTGTAAGACTGAGAGAACAGACAGTCCTACCCTAAAAAGAGCCAGTGCAGGAGTAGTGAGACAACGTAGGGGAGCACTGAGTGTGGCCTGCACAGGGTGCTGCGGCAGCCGTCCTGACTGCCATGGGGAAGGATCCCCCGCGAGACCCGGGTAGGCTTGTGACCTAGGGGTCCCCTTTTCCTAGTTGGGGTGCAGGAAGGGTGTTGGGCTGTCTTGCACATACTTCTGAGAAGTTGGCTTGAGTATGACTCCCAGTACTACATCCAGGAAGTGCCAAAGCTGCCCTCTGGAGGGGTTGGGATTTCCAGCATCTCCACAGAGAACAGCAGGAAGCAGCTCCAACTGCTGACCTTCACTCATCTCTCCCTTTGGCTCCCCAGGTGCATGTAGGGGGCAGCCTGGCTGTCCTAGGAGGGAAGCTGTACGTGTCAGGAGGATATGACAATACGTTTGAACTTTCGGACGTGGTGGAGGCCTATGACCCCGAGACCCGGGCTTGGAGTGTGGTAGGGAGGCTCCCAGAGCCCACCTTCTGGCATGGCAGCGTCAGCATCTTCCGACAGTTCATGCCACAGACTGCTGTGGGCGGGCGTGGCTTTGAGCTGGACAGGGGCAGCAATGATGTGGACGCAGGCCGACACCGGCCACCACAGAACCCTGACGAGCTGCACTAGCCCCGGCCTGGCCCAGGGAGGGCCTTGGTGCCGGGAACCCAGCACCTGCGGGGGAGTGACCCCCTCCTTCATGTCCAGGACATGTGGGGTGACAGGCAGAGCTCTGGGGTGCTGAGTGAGACCCAGGATCTGTCATGTGGAAGGTTTCTGTACAATTCAAGCCAAACCACAACTTCTGGAGCCAAAGCTGGTTGTAAGTGCCCCTCTCCTGGTCAAAGAAGAGCTGTTTCCCTGCCAGCATGTGCCTCTGGCTTCCAGAGGTCACCCTCAACTTGTGGCACCAGCTCGCCCAGGCAGCACACCTTCCTGCTGCTACCACCTATACCTGTTCACTCCCACCATGGGAGCAGAGGGTAAGGGTCCTCCTGTGAGAGTCTGAGTGGCCTGGAGCATCAGGGACCAAGCAGACAATGGCTGCAGTGGAGTCCTAAACCCCATGTCCATCCAGTGTGGGGTGTCTGCTTGCCTAGCTTCTTGTCTCTGCTGGGGTCTTGCCAGACAGTGCTGGGACAAGCTGAGTGTCAGGTAGGAGGGATCCCAAGGTCCCAGTGAGTTTTGTGTTTCCAGAGGACATGGCCATGGCAAATGCTGGATCTCTCCATTCTACCAAGCCAGTATGTCCTCACCCAGCAAGGAGACCTTCCCTAGGACCTTGTTCCAAGTGGGCGGAGGAGAGGGCAACAACTGCAGAGCAAGGTTCCAGTTCCTTGCTGGGAGTCTCAGTGGCGCCCTGCCAGGCAGACAGCTGCTGGGCCTGGAGTGAAGGATTCTTCTAAAGGAAGGCCTGGTGGCCATGACTGCAGGTTGGTTCCATGTTGGAAATGCTTGCAGTCTGACCTTTAAAAGACGGGGTAAGGGGCCTGGGGTGTGAGACAGGTGGGCTTTGCCTGACTTTCAGAGCCCAGTGGGGCTGACCTGGACCCAAGGAGCTCAGACCTGATGAGGTGGAATTTGCAGTGTGGGGAGTGCCTGGTTTTCTCACAGAAGCATGAGCTTTTCACAGGTTGGGGGTTCAGGTCCTTCAAGGTACCCTAAGTGGCCTCTCCGAATTTATCATCCTCTCCCTTTTCAGGAAGAGGGCATTAGGACTGTTGTTTGCTTGCTCAGGTAAAATGAAAGCAAATGTTTGGAGTTGCCTTGTCCTAGTAAGCCAACTAGCACAGGCTGAGTTCTCACCAGGAACATAACGGTCTCTACGCCATCACTTAAGTTGTATCTAAAACCCTCTTGGCTAGATGGCAGGGGTTGTTGCCTTAATTTGCCAGGCAGACAGCCTTGCTTGCCTGTGCCTTTGTTCAGTGTCAGGCACTGCAGATGTCATCACATTAGAAAACTGTTCTAGAACACAGCTGGTGCCAGGCGCTGGGGAAAGGCTGGGGGTGAAGGGGCACCATCTGCTTTGGTCTCCTGGGGTGAGCGTGTGCATTGATGCCCCAGACACCGCAGCTTACTTTGTACCCAGGCCTGTCTCCAGGTACAGACAGCCCAGTCCTCCCCTCACCCTTCCTTTCCTTGGCCACGTGAACTCCCTCAGGGAGCTCCCCTGCCCCTAGAAAAGTGCCTCCCACACTGTCACCTAACTTTATGGAGCGCTGCTGAGGCCATGGTGGGAAAGGAAGGTATCAGTGCACTATAGGATGGCTTGTCTCTCACCAGCAGTTGGGGCTTAGTGGGGTGGGACTCTGAACTCGGGGCCAGAGAAAATACCCTATCTAGTCTGCTTAGGGACATGTCAGGTCGTCCCTGAGGCAGGCTGGAGATCTCCCAGAAGTAGTTCTGGATTCCTGCTCTCTACTGCTTCACTGTAACCTGCAGCTAGGTTACCCCACTATCGTGGTGGCCACTCACATGGGGGCCTGTGCAGGAGAGATGGGCTTGTGTTTGCATTCCTCTGCATGTGTGCTCCAGAGCTATCCAGGCCTCCACCCCTAGGACCCCATCTTTGGGTTTAAAAGACTAAGGATAGAGAGGAGCAGAGGCTAGCCTCAACCACAGCAGGTCCCTCCGGCCTGTAGACACAGCTGGGATTCTAGGATGAAGCCACTCTGTTCTGGCCTCCTCTTTGCCATGGATTCTGAGCTGCATCATCCCCACCACTTACAGAGGTCTCTATGGTGACTCTGGAACAGAGAACAGATGCCAGGCCACTTGGGGATAGGACACTCTACGTGGCACCTGTACAGAACTCTTACCTGTCAGGACAATTAAGTTATGAAGATTCAGTAAATAGTATTTAATGCCGGTCTATAAGGTACTCTATATTTATGACTGCAGAGACTGTGTATGAAGGGCACCTCCCTCCCATGTCCAGCATCTAGTCATACCACAGGGTGGGGCAGGTTTGGGATTTTTGTCTATTCTGTAGGCTTACATGTCCAGAATCCTGTCTTAAGTTTTAAGATGCCTTCAATACTTTTTGAAATAAAAATACTTCCTATGCATTTAGTGTCATTGCCCCTATCCTTCTGCTGCTGTCTTCTGGGAATCTTTGTGCGGAGGCCAGCATTTTTTGGGTAACAGGAGCAGAGCGGGGAGTCGTGGTGTGGACAGGTTTGAGCCTAGGGTCTGAGGGGGCTGGTGTTTTACAAAGGCAGAGTGGTAAATTGCTGTCTGCTGTGGGTTGGATCTTGGACCTGGGGAGGTAGGGCCTTTCAGATAAAGGCGGATCCCCAAACAGGCCATAAGTTCCCATGAGCAATCAAGCTCGGACTATTTCTCACACCTGCAGAACCTGTCAACCTGAGGAGAGGCTGGTTCCTGGGCTAGACGGGGGAAAACAGGCTAACTTTTGGGTAGTGGTTTTGCAGTCCTGGGGGGTAGAACCCATGGCCTCACATAAATGCTAAGTGAGCGCTCTACCACTGAGTCACACTCCAACTTGAGTTTCCCTTTTACTTTTTGGTGGTACTGGGGTTTGAACTCAGGGCCTCAAGCTTGCTAGGCACTACTCTAACCTCTTGAGCCACCCCGAAAGCCTTTTTTTGTGATAGGTTTTCTCGACAGCAGGTTTTGCAAACTATTTGCCCAGGCTGGCTTCAAAACTCAATCCTCCTAATCTCTGCCTCCTGAGTAGCTAGGATTGCAGGCGTGAGCCACTGATGCCTGGCAGTCTCCCTTTTTAATTTCCTTTCCAAAACACCTGAAACTGCTCATTACCTATTAGGAAAGTAAGTCAAACCTGGGGTGGCAATTACTGTACTTGAATACCATCTTTACTTCTGAGCTCCCAATGGTCAAGGAATAAAAGGAAAGATGGGTAGATGGATCTGAGTCTAAAACATTTTCCTGGCCTCCAACCCTAGAAGGAATTTAGCACTGGTGGCAAGGCAGCATAGCCTTGCAGGGATCCCTCTAGGATAAGATTTTAAGCAGGACCTAACTCTGAAGACAGTGGGGTTGTGACTAGCATTAGCACTGATCGAACCTACTCTTTGTGGGGCAGTTTCAAACTGTCCGAAGGTTCTTTGACATCCCTCTTAACCTGGGGAGTGGCGTGTGACAATCTCAACCAACAGGATAGGCAGAGGTAAAGCCACGTGACTTCCAGGGGGAGGTCATAAAAAGCCCTTGTAGCTTGGGCCTTCAGGATATTTACTTTTGGAATTCAGCCACCATGCTGTGAAGAAGCTCCAACAACCCACCCCAAACAAGCTTGCCCGGCATGTGAGTAAGTCATCCTGAGAACAGATCCCTAGGCCCTAATTTTGTAGTAGTTTATGACCCACTGAGCTTTCTCATTTAATCCTTTGTGAAGCATGCACAGAGCATGCTGCTAATTCCATTAAAAGGCAGAGATGAGTCAGATGCCAGTGGCTCACGCCTGTAATCCTCGCTACTCATCAGGCAGAGATCAGGAGGATCACAGTTTGAAGTCAGCCCAGGCAAACAGTTTGCAAGACCCTGTTTCAATAATACCTAACACAAAAAGGGCTGGTGGAGTGGCTCAAGGTGAAGGCCCTCAGTTCAAACCCCAGTAATGCAAAAAAAGAAAGAATGAATGGATGAGGGACAGAAGGCAGAAGTAGAAAGTATCCAAACCCAGAGGCTTGGTGCCCTACCAATGTCTTGCTCAGCTGAGGTCTTCCGAGGAGCTGGGGGTCTGCTGGCTGAGCTCTGAGGTCCAGAGGAGGGTAGTGCTCCTCCTCTTTTTGTAGAAAAAAGCACTTCACTGGAGTCTGGGCTGGCAACTTCAGCATACCAGACAACAGACCATCATGTAAGTGAGTCCAAAGCCACATGGTTTATTGGGGGCTGGGGCCAACAGGGCTATGTGTCACAGTCCTCAGGGACAGCAGCTGTGATGATGAGTGGGGGCTCCAGGACACCGGGGCCAGCAAAGCTCTCCTCCGCACACAGTCTCTGGCCAGGGAGCTGGGAGGCCAGACCACCCTGTGCCAGGGACTCCACGATCACCTCGGCCGAGCCCATCTCCATCTCTGCAGGTGGCTGCAGGGCCACCACCACCATTTTCTCATCTTCAATGACCAGGTTGCGGAGCTTGCGCTGCCGGGGGTTGTAATTCTCCACCCTGTCGTGGATTTCCATGTGCCTCCGCAAGTGGGCCTGCAGGGGAGGGATCGCTCAGTGCTGGGGAGCAGAGCCCAGGGGCGGGTGACCCTGAGGCCTGACCTACCTGCCGAGTGAACTTGTAGCCACATTCAGTGCACTCGAATTTCCTCACCCCCTTGTGTCGTCTGACATGCACACGTAACTGCTCCACAGCTGCAGGGGACACAAGGCCATCATCATTAGGGTAGGTGGGAGCATGGCAGCAGCTCTGCTCTGAAATGGAGGCCAAAAGCCCAGGCCCAGTAGGAGCCCGTGGCCAGGGCTCTCCAGCGCCACCCTGAAGCCACTGCTGTGCAGGGCCTGGGCAGCCCCTGACCCCATCTCCACTGTCACAGCAGTTCCAGTTTGCTGGCAGGTAAGTTCTGCTGCTTTAAAGGAGCATTTGGAAGCCACTGCTGCCCCTTGACCTCTCTGTGGAGATCCTCCAACTCAGGTCAGCAGGAAATGAAGATGGCCCAGCCCTAGCTACCCCCATGGCCTGCCAGGGTACCTTTGAAGGTCTTGCCACAGATCTGGCAGAAGTGGGGCCGGCCCTCCTGGTGGCGGCTGGCTACATGCCTCAGGAGGGGCCCCTTCTCAGTGAAGCGCTGCTCACAGAACTCACAGCTGAAGGGTCTCTCACCAGTGTGGGTGCGGTTGTGCTTATCCAGGCTGGCTGTGGGGACAAGGTGGGAGCTCAGCCACTGGCCTCAGCCCCAGGGCGAGGAGGGAATGGGCCTGCCTTACCTTGGGTGCGGAAGGTCTTGCCACAGAGGTGGCACTGGAAAGGCTTCTCGCCCGTGTGTGTGCGCAGGTGCATGTTGAGATTGGCTTTCTGGGTGAAGGCATGACTGCAGAACTCACACACGTACGGCCTCTCATTCCTGTTCAGGTGAGGACACAGCAAAGGCTGTCACTGACAGAAGTGGCCCCCTTTCACCCTGTTATAGCTGGGGGCATCCCCAGCAGGAGGGCTTGGGTGATGCCAGGAAAAGAATACCACCTCCAAGTTACAGACAAGAAATCTGGAGCAGGGAGTCACAGTAACTAAGGAAACATGAGTTTGCCCCAGAGGTACAAAGCCTTGTCTCAGCCCGGAAGCCTCTTCCCAACCTAGCATGCGCTTGCTGCCCCTCAGGTCCCCCACCCCAGAAAGGCTGGAGGTGCTAGATTCAGGATGGAGGCACACGCATCCGTGTGCATTTAAGCAAATGCTGCCTTCCTGGCCTGCTGCTGACAGCAGGGCCAGCCCAGGGAGAGGAACGAGCCACACCTGTGCTTGGCCTTGATGTGCATCTGCAGCCCATTGCGGCTCGAGGCCCGGTGCCCACATTCTTCGCACACAAACAGCTTCTCCCCACGGTGCTTGAAAGCCTCATGCAGCTGCAGCTCTGTCCGAGACAGGAAGCACTTGGCACAGGTGGGGCACTACCACACAGGCAGGACAGGAAAAGAAACCAGGACCAGGTAAGGACAGGGTGGGGCTGCACAGGAGCCACAGCTACCTAACTCCTGCCTGCCCCGGCCTTGGCTGGCACTTACTGCATGGGGTTTGGGGGCTCCGTGCAACTTGATCATATGGCTCTGCAAATCCTTCTTCTGCATGAACTGCTGAGAGCAGGAGGAGCACTGAAAAAGAGACCCAGAGTCACCTCCAGAGTAGCCTGCACTACAGAACCCTGCCATGGTACGTGACCGAGCGAGCAGGGCCCAGCGAAGTGCAGAGGGTGCCTGATCTGGTACAAGGGCTGGCTCTGGGCAGAGCAGTGCTCAGCTGCCCATGCCCTGCTCAGGAGTGCTGAGCATGCTCTTCATGGAAAGACAGGTCTAGGGTGGGGGCATGGCTCAAGTGGTAGAGTGCCTATCTAGCAAGCTCAAGGCCCTGAGTTCAAATCTCAGTGCTGGAAGATTTAAAAAAAAAAAAAGAAAAGAGGGAAGGAGAAGGGAGGGAGGGAGGAAGGAAGGAAGAAAAAAGGCCTAAAAGGGCTCTGGAAGTGAGGTTGTGGCCAGTGGCCCCACACAATGTAAGGTCACTGGAGATGAGCAAGATAGGCAAGCTTCTTGACAACCATTAAGAGAGAGGGACCTGACACTACCCCAGGCAAAGGGCTCCACAGGAGGGATACAGGGACTACCCCCAACCCCATACCCCAGCCCACAGTCCTGGGGACAGGCCGAGCCTGACCTTGTAGGGCATCTCCCCTGTGTGGGACACCATGTGCACCCGCAGCTCCATTCTCCGGCGAAAGGTCTCCTGGCACACAGAGCACGTGAAGACCTGGCAGTGTGAGGGGCAAGCAGGGCCAGCATCAGGGGGGGCCTCTGCCTGCAACAGCAGCCTCTGCTGGGGTTTCCACTCGCTGCTGGGAAGAGTCTGCCTGGGGCGGGGGATGCTAGGGTGGGAGAGGGCAACATGTAACCCACCTGCCCTGATTATCAGAGTGCTTCTAACTATCATATGCCAGGCCCTTCTCAGGCCCAGACAGGCTGGGGACAGGAACCAAGCAGCTTTACCCACAGTCCTTGGCCCCAGCTGCCACTGACAGGTTCTGGCAAAAGGGTGGGATTTAGCCAGACCCTACCCGCATGGGGCAGCAGTGGGGTGGGAGGTAGCCAGAAGGCCCTTACCAGCAGTCATCCCCCACTGAGGCTCCCCTGCTCCAAAGCCCAAGGTGGAGATGAGCCAGGAGCCTGGGCCAGGCCAACCCAAAATGCTTCCCACAGTTTGTCCCCACTTATACCATTGGGTATGGACTCAATGACATCCAAAGACCCTGTAGGTCTCAAGTTTTACAGTTCCCATTGGAGGTGGTCTCCTAGGGGCCCTTCCCAGGTGCCATGAAGACAGGGCAGTATGGTGCCCCTGCCCACAAGTACCTGGGCCAACTCCCAAGTACCTGTTCTGAGCGGTTCATGCAATTCCGGGCTTCATGTTCCAAGAGATTCTCCTTCCGAAAGTAACACTTCCCACATTTGGGACACTCAAAAGGTTTCTCCCCAGTGTGTTTCCTGCCAGGAGAAGCCACAGGAGTGTGGGGGCTGAGAGGGTTTCCCAGCTGTCCCTTACAGGACCCTCTCTGGCTCCCACCATTAACCCATGCTGTGCTGCACAGCAGGCAAATGTGTCCTGAGGCCAGCCACAGCTCACCAGGTGTGCTTGGTGAGACCCCCAGAGGAACATGCCAGGACAAACCCAGAAATCCCCTTCCGCACAGCTCTCAGCAAGGGAGGGTGCTGTGGTCACAAGTCTAAATCGCTCTGTGCTAGAGGAGCCAGCTGGGAGCCAAGAGCCAACCTTACAAGCCCCACCTCTACCAGCCTCCCTAAATGGCTATTTTGGAGTGGACTGGCACAGAGGCTGACTGGGAGACCTGGTTGGCATAAGTGATCACAGGTCGACTACCTGTAGAAACAACTGTCTTCCCAGAGCCTCTGTGGGCTCTACCTTCCAAATGGTGACCAGAATCTGCCCACATCACCTCACCACAACTAGAAAGTGCAGTAGCAGCATCTCCTGGCGAGGCAATAAGCTAACCTGTTCTCCTGGCACCACACAAACCTCCCAATAGGCTGGATTAAATTCAGAAGTCATAGGGGCCCTTTGAAGATAAGGCAGCCCTCATCATCTCTTGACTCACAACTGACCAGTGCTTCCTCCTTCAATATGAGAAAAGCCCAGGAGGCCAACAAGGACATAGATGTGCCTCAGCCGGCCTACCCCTCACTTTGCTGGCCTTGCTCTGAGAACCCTGCCTGGTCCTGCAGTCTGTCCCTCATCTCCTCACTGTTCGCCAACCTGCCAGGCTCCCTCCTAGCCCAGGGCCTTCATGCTGGCTCTTGTCACTGGCCAGAATGCTCTCCCCACTGGATGACTTCCTTTATCTTTGTTTAAGTCTAGCCTTCTTACTAAGTCTCCACAGGCCAGTTATTTAGAAGCACAACTTAGTCCCAGCCTGAACCACCCCCAACTCCTGGGCCCCACCCTCCTTTTGTTTCTAATACACTGCTCATTTCCTAGCACACTGCACTAACTTGTTATGCTTTTATGCTTTCACCTGCATTGCTCTACCAGAAGGTACACTCCATAAAGACCTTTGTCTTGTTCATTGATGTATCCTGACTGCCCACAAGTCTTTTCAGCTATCTAGTAGTTCAGAGCCCATGGATGGCATTGGAAGAGCTCTCAAAAGCTACCAGAAGCCAACTGCTTCTCTTATCCTCTGCTGCTACATCACTGTCCTTGTCCCCTGCCACTGTAATGCCCTCATGAAGCCATCACTCCCCTCCTAGTTCTCAAAACCATTCAGCAACCCATAGCTCAAGGTAGGGATTGATGGAGACAATGCTCTGCACCTGTCTTTTGCTGGCAGCGTGCCTGAAGCATCTGGGCAGAGCTGAAAAACCCCCAGGGTTCCCCCTAAACTGGGATTATGGAAAGACTCCACTAGTGGCAGCTGCGCCAAGTCCAAATACAGGTAGAGCAAACTGGTCTCAACTCTAGACAATCACTAGTGGTCTCCCAGTGTCATCGGAGAATAGGTGTGTTGCACAATTTGGCTTGGTGACTGAAGACGTGTCACCTAATTGCTGGCCCCAGAGGTCTTGCATGGGACTCTGGAGCAGTGCTGTCCAAGAGATCTCCCATGATGGTGGAAATGCTCTGTCTGCACATCCAATTTGGTAGCTAGAGGCCACATGGCTCCTGAGCACATGAGATATGACTAGAGTGTCTAAGGAACTGAATTTAATTTTAAGTTGAAACGGCTCCCATAGGACTCCTGGTTACCTTACTGGACACTGCAGCTTTAGTCAAATGATCTTTTATGCTCCATTCACACCCAGAGCTAATATCCTTAGAAACAGAGGTAGCACTAATCCTAAAGATCAGCATCTTGGCCCAAGCCCACATTGCCAGGCTTTAGAATTTCCTAAGGTTAGGCCTGGGAGCTACAGGCTTCTCTAATCCCCTTTTGCAGAAGCAAGCTGGCAGTCAAAGTCCACAGTGGGTACAGCCAGTTGATAAGGGGTCCACAAGCCCATCTCCAACCAAAAGATTCACAGTAGGGAGGGAAGAATCTGACCTAAAGGGAGCTTCCCACTCCCTGATGATCAGTGCCATGTTAGCCCCAGGGCACTGTGTGGTCTGAGATACAACCCCGAGCCCCTACAGAGCCCAGAATAGGGGAATAAAGGACCCCCCCCCAACATGGGAATGGCAGATGAGAAAAGAAAATAGAAAATCAGAGCGTTTACCTGTTGTGGACTTTTAGATAATATTTGCTGAGGAACTTTTTATGACATGTGGGGCATTCAACCGGCACCGCTGTACCTTTTCTGTTCTCAGCGGGCTCGTCTGCTAGGGAACCTGTACCCAGGGCTGGCTCGGCAGCACAGGGCTTTCTGATTACTTTTGACTTCCTCCTGGTCAGCATAGTCTCAGGCTCAGAAACGTAATCGCCATCCCCGTCGTCATCAACTTGAACCACCACTTCCCACTAGAGCAGAAGAGGCATCAGGAGGGGGTGGGGTCACCAAATTAATCTGCAGGGTCTGTGGAGAGCCAGCTTTAGTTGCATCCCACGCCCCAACCCAGGTAAGTCCCGTTGGGGCCCACGGCAGACAACATCTTAATCTTGGATTTTGGGGGAAAAATGGCTCTATCTGTGAGGAACTGAAAGCCAGGCTATGTTTCACTACTCTAGGAAAACACCTGTAACCTTGATGCCACCCACTCTACCCCCAAGGAAGTTGGCAACCATGGACAGTTGTGACTCAAAGGTCAGGTGAGGCTACTGGCTTCCTATGCTTGAGAAAGTGCACTACACGTCACAGAGATTCTACTTTGAGGTCCAGATCACCCCAGAAAAGAGTCCATCTTTCCCCTCTACTCTTGCCTCCCCACTTCCGGCCCCCAGGGCACAGTACCTCATTACTGTCACGCTGCAGTGGAACACCTTCAGTCTCGAAGGGCCTTGGGAGCACTTTGCAGTCCTCAGGCTCTTTGTCCTCTGAAGGACAAGGCTTAAGAGCCTGCTTCAGTTTCCCACAGAGAAAGGAGGGGCTACTCTGAGCAGTGGGACTGAGCTGGGACCTTTGGGGGCTGTGACTGTTCCTGAGCTCCTGATCCTTAGGGACCAGGCCCAGAGTTCTTGAAACTTCCTCTTCTTCCAAGTCTGTCCGTTCCTTACGGTGGCTTTTCACATCCTGTGAGGCAGGTTTCCCCAGTCCACTCTGGCCACTTGGTGCCTGTCCCACAGAGGATTTGGGCTGGAAGCTCTGGCACAGCTCCACAACCTCTGGTACTCGCAACTCCCTGGCTGCCAGGAGCACTTGATCACGGTTCCCTGATGTGAGAGCGAGGTGACCCGTGTAGAAAAAGTCCAGGAGAAGTCCAAAGATCTCAGCAAAGCCAGCAGGGAGGACAACACTGCCCCCTGACCCGTCCCCGTAGAGGCTCTGGAAGAAATGGCTGCAGCAGGCAAGGACACTCCAGTGCGCCTTGAACACCAGGCCCCCCACGTCCAGGGTGGCGTCGCAGTACTGGCCCTTCTCCCGCTGCTTGTTGAGCTCCTGCAGAACCCTCACACTGTGCTGAACGAAGGAGCCGTCCATGGTCTGGAGGAAAGGAAGGAAGAAGTGACGACCTGACCAGCCTAAATAAAAGGAAGCAAGAGAAAGCCCCTAAACGAGAAAGGGAAGTGGCTTCTACCCAAACGATCACTCTTATCAGGACAAGGGCTTGGGTCAAGATTAGAGGGTGTACGCAGAGGCCAGGAACCGACTGACAGCCTCCAGGGGGCGGGGGCTACACTGGATTGGCCAGAGAAGATGGTGCGGGTGAAGGGGCATGGCGGGAGACAGACCAGGGTCTTGAAGGGGTGCCGATGAGAGAAGTCAAAGTCTGAGTATAGAAAACGGGGGATGAACGTGAACTGATCGGCCGTGCACACCCAGAAGACTCTGAGCGGGGAAGGGAGGCGGCCGCGAACAGGTGATCTGAGCCCACGCCGCACCCACAGGTTCCGAACGGCCGGCGCAAGGCGGCCACAGCGGCCCACAGCCCTCCTTCCCGCGGCCCGCGTCTTCCTCACCCGGGTCTTCCTCCCTGCGCGGGAGGCACTGGGCCCGGCAATGTAGCTTCCACAACCCACAGACCAACTGCCCGGACCCAACGTGCCCAGCCCAAGTCCAGAGACGCCGCCGTCGCCGTGCCGGACGTGACGTCAGGGCGCGCCGGCCGGGGGCGGGGCGCCGCGGAGGCGGAGCTTTCTAAATCCCGCCCTTGGAGGCAGGACCCCGGAGAATTACCAATGGATGTGAATGGGGCGTGGCCAGACCCGCCTATGGAGGCGCTGGGTTCGACTTCCGGAGTTGCCTAGCAACACCAAGCTGGTCGAGGGCCCTTTACTGATCTTCAAGTGCAGACTGCGAAAGGTGAGACCCAGCCCACACCCGCAGACCGGAAGACGCAAACACACTTTTTTTTTTTTTTTTGCGGGACTGTGGTTTGAGCTCAGCGCTCTACCACTTGAGCTACTCCACCAGCCCACATTTCTCTTTATTTACAGCGCAGAGCCTGGGCTGGGCTCCCGTTCCCTTACACATCTCCCCAAGCCCGCCGCCCGGCTCCACCTTCAGCCGTCTTGGTAGGAAGGCTTGTAGTCCTCCCGGTCGTGGCATGGCCCTGCCTGACCCGTTGATCAGGTGGAGCCGCAGCGCCTCGTGTAGTCTTGGATGGAGGCCTGGAAGTGCTCTGTGTTGTTGAGGTCTGGTCGGAAGAGGATCACATAGCACTTCGGAAGGAAATAACCGCTGAAGCCGCCGCTCAGGCTGATCAGCCCAGCCAGCACGTTAACTACCGGCAGGTACTTTCCCTGGTAGATGCTAGCCATGGTGAAGAAGGTGATCCAGGATACGAAATTAAGGAGCAAGCTGAAAGTGACGCATTTGGCCTCGTTATAGTTCTCTGGCAGCTCCTTGCCCATGTAACTGCAGGCAAAGGCACTGACGGAGAGGAGACATTTGTAGGTGAACGCCAATAGGAAGCCCAGAGAGTTGGCCTCTGTACACTCAAGCATCACCAACTGGGGGAAGCGCTGGTATTCTCTGGTGGGCAGTGGGGTCCACACTGCAAGCCAAGTTAAACAGATGAGCAGCTGGGCCATTGAGCTGACTATCACAAACAGGCCAGCACCATGGTTTTGGACCCAGGCATGGTAGAATGTGGGTACCTTGGTGGAAAACTTGAAGATGATAACCAGTTGGAAAGAGCGGATTGTCAAGCAAGACAGAAAGATGGCGAAACCGAAGGAAAAGAGGGCCTGGCGCAGCAAGCAAGTGGGCACTGTGGGCTCCCCAAAGAAACCATAGAGGCTGCAGCTACCCGCTGCCAGGGAGCCCAGCATGAGGAAGCATAGCCTGCCCCCAGCTGACCTTACAACAGGTGTGTCTAGGTGCCAAGCAAGCAGAACAGCAGTCCCAACCAGCAGCAACAACAGCAGTGTATTAGCTGCCAATAGCATCCAAGATATGGGCTCATGCCAAGTCAAAAACACCACAGTGCGTGGGAAGCAGGTCTGGCTTCCCTCAGGTGCCCACTCTTCTTTCCCACAAGGCTGGCAGCTGTTGAGGTCTGCAAACAAAGCAAAAAAATATTCCTGAGGGCCAGGGTGAGCAGATTAGAAGGGAAAAGGAAGGTGCTGGAGGCCTGCAAGATGCTGGGAGAATTGTAACACATCCACAATCAGCTAGGCTCTGGAGGCATAGTGAGAGGGTGGAAACCTGGAGTTGGGTCAAGGCCAAGTAGTTCCTCAGAAGGTCTGTGTTAATAACAAACTCTGAGGATTCATGGATAAATTCTGTATGGCTCACAGTCCCAAGAGGAGTTTGTAAACAAAAGGGGCCTGACACTGGTAACTCATCCCATATGCCAATGAGACTATGTTGCAGAGGGAGAAGCTAGCTCAAAAGGAAAGGAAAAGTATTGTCATCTCGTCCAACACTTCTACTAACTCAATCTGCCTTCCTGAGCTTCTGCTCTGTGATTTCGGAGTCCTTGACTCTCTAAGAACTAACAGCACTCATTGTCATCTCCACAAAGATAGTAAATACGGCCCCTATAGTCCAGCTCTGGGCAGAGCCTTCGCTACCTAATTTGCTCTCTGCTCTCCACCTTGCATTTCTAGGTGGGACATTCTGGCTTTTTTTTTTTTTTTTGGCTGAAGACATGCAAGTATCTGCATTCAAGCCAAGGCAGTCAGGTGCTTGGTGTCTTTGGCACTGGCAAAAGAAGGAACTTCATATAAATAGGATGGGAGAATACAAAGGAGCAATGGCTACATCCATTTGGATAAAGAGGTTGTATTCAGGATAAGCTCCATCTGTAGGAGCTGTGATTGGAGCTCTCTAATAAAAGACATGTCTTGGTATCAAGCTTTCAATTGGTTGTTTCTACTTGATCAGAATTCAGTCTGCTAGCAGGTGTCCTCCAACTTGTACCTAACTGGCAAGCCCTGGTTCTGGGGCCAGGTCTGTACACACCTGACAGGTCTTTCTACTTGCAGTGTAGACCCTGGGATTTTGGGTCACTCACACACTCACTGTTCACTCACCACTCTTGTTGAGAAAGGTTCCAGCCTCACAGAGCACACACTCGAAGCAACAATGGTGGGAACCCACAACCACTCGATGGTGCCCTTCAAGACAGTCCTTGGTACACACGGATGTAGGCACCTGTAAGAAGCATGGCAACCATACGGAGGTGCCCAAGTCAAGGGACAGCTCACACATGGAACAGAAAACAGAATCTTCATGCTTCTGCCCTCTGGGCACACTCCCAGTGCAGAGCCTCTGCTCATGTGAGAGAACATCCAATTGGTGTCTGCTAGCAGTGGAGCTAGCTTCCCTGGCAGGGATGAGCAGAGTGATGGCAGTCTGACACCTGTGGTGCCCTTCCTGCTCTGGGTAACCATCACTCTCGGGCCCTCGATGCCATAAGTCAGCGACCTGATGAGTAACCATATCCCCATTACCTGGTTGTTCTCTCCGTGCCACTGGATTTTCGTCTTATTTATGTTCAAACCAACTGGAGACCACGTGGAGGAGCCAATGATCCTAAAGGTCCACGTGGGCCCACTCCAGTCCCAAGCGATGATGTTATAGTCACTAAGGAGGTCCCCATTGTCATCAAATGTCACCATGTCCTCATGCAGAAGGAAATTCACTTTATAGATCTGCTCCAGGAGCTGGGACAAACAGATATCATGAAGCTACCATAGAGCACACAGACCCAGATGGCCCAGGAAGCTGGCGTCTTCATGGGGTTTCATCCTGAGTGGTTTCAGCCCAGCTAGAAGGTGTAGTTTCTTCTCCAGAGACCCCTCCCCTCCTATGAAGCCCCTTTCCCCTCTCAACCAGTCTCCTGAGAGGAGGCCTCTAACAAAGGATTCCTTTGCCAAGAATTTTAGCCCTTGATGTGTCTGGGACATGGTGGGTGGGAGAAAGCAAGGTTCAGAGAAGAAAAAGATTAGTCTAAGAGAAGACCAGCCTTCAAGTCAGTGGCTGTTAGGGTGGCCAGAGAGTGCCCATTCTGCTTATCTCAGGATTGGTTGTTCTCGCCTGATACAGGGGGCCTGGGAC